GAGGAGTTTGGGGCAATGAGACTCACAATGAGTAGACATAATTCTTCACACTTATGCGGCAAGCCGGTGCTGCTCTTCCTCCAGGGTATCCTCCGGGGGGTCCCATCTGCCTGGTGGAGAATGGGGCTGCTCACGGGTTTCATTCTCACCCATTCAGTGTGTGTGCTGGGCTGCCTTAGAGTTGCAATAGAACATTGATTTGTCTCCAGACAGGCCTGCCTCCGACACTCATGCAACAGATGGCTCTGCGGTGCCCTTAAGTTGGTGGTCTCCACACATCACAGGCTGAATATATTCCTCCTCTGCAAGCTGCTGATTGTTTTTTCTGACCATGCAGACCTCGCAGGTCTTTTCTGGACTTTACAAATGCCAGCATCCTGTTGTCTTCATTGAGGACAGTTTTCCCATGGGCTGACACTGCGTTTGTCTCAGTGGTATTGTGTAGATCCAGGGTTCACATAAATACTTTTGGTGTTGCTGTTTATTATCTTTAGTTGAAATTATCTGGGACCATGCTGACAGACTTCAGAAACCTGGGACTAATTCACCTTTTGGGTAAAAAATTGAATAAGAAAAGTAGTTCTGTTTCATCCCTGTTGGAGGGAAGAATTCTCTTTGCATTTAACTGAAAGAGGAGAGTTTGTGGGTCTCTTTTGTTTCATTATGTGTATATTCTTTATATCTTTCTTTTATCCCTGTCCCGTAAATAAGGATCCACAACTCTCAATAAAATATCCCTGGGCATTTGTTTTGCAGTCATAAAGTCAATACCCTCTTCATAATGAGCTAGCTACTGGCTTTGCTACAAACACAAAGCAAAACAGTAATGCATTGCAAAAGCACAGTTGTCTGTTTCCAGCAGATGAGCTAAGGTCCTCAAATAGGAGCAAGAGTGTATGTGTATGTGACTGTGTTTAATTTGCCTTGGGTAGCATGCAAGTCAAGGATTCTTTCTTTATTTTTTGAACAAAGCTGTTTTTAAGAACCCTGAATTTGCATGAAAAAGATGCTGGTCCCATTCAGTTTCACACATATATTGGGACCTTAGGGGTTTGAAGATATGGTTTGTCAAGGGACTCCTGAACCCAAGGGCAAATGAGATGACTATAAAAAAGGCAGACCCATTTATTTTTAATACTTTGATTAAGTTGATAATTTGAGCCCAGAAATGGGAACATCTAGAAATGCTGAGATTTTTACCGTAGATGGTTTCACCCATCAGATGACTCGAGTCGTCACTTCCTTAATTTTTATCAAGAATGACAACTCTTTCATGCAAAAATAAAATACATTTCCTACTAAAAACAAAAACCCTGCAAACACATGGAATACCAATGATATGAAAGATTTGGGAGATAGAAAGTGCCAAACCTCAAGAAAGTATTCTTTCCTGTGTTTTGTTTTTGTTTTTTTTGGCCTTGAAATTCTCTTTTCAAAGGAAATAGGATTCAGAAACTTATGACATAAAATAAGTCAAAATTAGGATGCTTTGCTTAGTGGGACTTAGATGGTACTGGTATTGTCCTGCCTACACCACAGAAAACCCCCCCAACTGTTACTTGCAAGCCTTCGACATGCCTGCTCCATGACATTACGCATATTGCATTTCCCGAATAAATGATTTAAACCAATAACAGAGCATGGTTTTAAAGAGACAGTTGTATTTGCTATTCTCGCGAATTCTGCTTATTCACTACCTAACTTCTTTGAATCATGGTAGCTCCCAAGTAACTAGACTTAAGCCAGTTTATAGCTGATAAATAAGGAGCACTAGCTTGCAGGGCTTGGGTCGCAGATTGTCTTTTCTGTGACCCAGACTACGCCGAGATTCCTCATGTGTGCGTCACACATTTCAAACGTGGCTATTTGAAATTGGGCACATCTAGTCACATGATGGTAGGTCAAACCCAAGCTGATGTTTCCAGTTTCTACATACTTATTTTGCTCTGTTTCCCCAAATCAATTGGCTTACATGCTGCCACTTTGAGGATGAGCCTTTCACATTGGTTCACTCACTAGTTATTATATGCCTAAAATATAATGTGTGGGCAGAATATAAAATCCATGACATGAATATTTTCCTTCTTAAAAACTGTGTAATGGCTAAAACCATTAAATTTTTCTTTCAAATTGAATTTTACAAGATTTCACATGAACTTATACCATGTGAAAATTCGTAATAGTGTTATAAAGGCAAACTCTTTTAAGGATAAAATAGTGAATGTTCCTAACCTTTAAGCTGTGTGAGGACTCTTTCATCATTTAGTAGGATGATTGTGCTAAGATAAACTTTGCTCTGTTTGTAGGAATGTCATCTTTACGCTAAACTGCTCTTGTAAAAAATTAACATGCTATTAGCATATATATTCAATCTTGTGCTGAAGATTCAGCAATCAGGAATAATGATTCCAGGAAATTTTCTAGACCATTCTTCCATTTCTTCTTCTGGATCTTCTAGGTTAAGTTCTTGAAGTGTGGTCCTAGGATGCTGATTGTTCCTGAGACCCTTTCAAGAGATCTGAATCTGCAGAGAGAGAGAGAGAAAGAGAGAGAGAGTGTGTGTGTATGTGTAGTCTCCTTTAATTGTTCTGAGCAGTTGTTTTATAGTTTTCACTGTAGTAGTCTGACAAATCTTTTGTAAATTTATTTCCTAAGTGTTTTATGTTTTGACACTATTGTAAATGAATTTTTTAAAATAGATTTTCTAGTTGTTTGATGCTAGTACGTAAAAACACAATTGGTTTTTGTGTATTGGCTTATATCTGTGACTTGCTAAATTCGCTTATTAGTTGTATGGTTGTTTTGTAGGTTCCTTAGTATATTCTATTTAGAAAATTGTCATCTGTGAATAGAGACAGTTTTACCTTCTCTTTTTTAATGTTCATGTCTTTTATTTTTCTTGCCTTATTGAACTACATAGGAGTTTTGCCCATCTCTGGACTTTATAGAAATGGAATCGTAAACTATATACTCTTCTGTGTTTGCTTCTTTCATTCTTCCACATGCTTGTGGTATTCCATATGTTGTTGTGGTTAGGTATACATGACTCCTTCGCAGTACTTTCTGGTATCCCAGTGTATGGTTATGTAGAAGTTTACCCATTCTGTTGTTAATGGGGTGCACATTTTTAGTTTAAGGTGATAACAAATAGTGCATCTATGAACATTCTAGTGCATGTCCTTCACTGAACATATATGTATATATGCATTTCTGTTGCATATATACTGAGTTGAATTGCTCAGTCATAGAGTATAGGGTATGTTCTTCTCTGCTTTCTTTGTCCGTATATCTACCACGTGTTTATTTTTCATATTAAACCAGAAGTCAAGTCATATCCTTCTCTTTCCATTCTTTGCTCCTTTCATCTGCTCATAAGGACTTGGGTCAGAGAACACAGAGATTTCTGCCTTGCTCACCTCATAATGAGGCACATGATTTCATCTCTTCCTGGCTTCTTTCTCTTGACTTTGTTGCCCTCTCCCACAAGGTCTATGCATGGGTCCTGCCCCAGGCTCCTAAAACTTGTTCTCCTCAGGGATCTCCTGGTCCTAGTTTTATTCCTTCTAATCTGTCTCTTTAGGCACTAATTCAAAGAGAACTATTCCTACTAAAAAATTGACTTAACTGTAACCAAACTAAAGCACATGCCTTCTTGGCAGTCACTGACATTTCAAAGACCCAAGCAGTTAGGCTTGGAGAAATCCTCTCAGCTGGGAATCCAGTTGTTCCCTTGCTGCTTGCGGACAGCTGAATAGCCAGTCCTGTGGAGAGGGAAGGCTGAGGGATGAAATAGCACACAGACGGTTTTACAACTTGATAACCGTAGAAGGATTTCAGGGAAAATCCTTCCTAATGGTAAGATTGGAAGATTACTGGAAGCGTTCACTTACCCCTACTTTATCTGTAAACTTTTTTTCCTAAGAATCATTGAAAAGCCATCCAAAATGTAGTATCTATCACTTTACAAAGCATTCTTAAAATTTTGGTGAATATTAAATTTTTTTCTAAATGAAATCAGAATTACAATTATAAGGAATACAAAATAGGCCCCATTGTAAAATAAAGAATGCTAAAATAAATGTTTTTAGATTTTACATATTTTCTAAGCCCTGAAAAAATGATAAGCAAAATTTTTATTTAGGATTTGTGAAATAAAGAAAACCTAAAGTTTGATCCTAATACAATTGATATTTACCAGCTGGGAGCTTGGTATGTTACTTAGCCTATCTGAGCCTCAGTTTCCAAATCTATAAATGGGGATAATAAAGCCTATTATAGGGTTGTTGTCAGGCTCATATAAGATTAGGTAAAATACTCAGCACAGTACTTTGATGTAGCAAGTCTGTAAATGATTTTTTAAAAAGATTTTATTTATTTATTTGTCAGAGAGAGAGAGAGCACAAGCAGGGGGGAGTGGCAGGCAGAGAGAGAAGCAGTCTCCCCACTGATCAAGGAGCCTGATGCTGGACTCGATCCCAGGATTGTGGGATCATGACCTGAGTCGAAGGCAGACGTTTAACCGACTGAGCCACGCAGGTGTCCCTGTAAATGATTTTCTGTTACCATTTCAAAAATTGTGCAGATTCAAGTCTGTTTGCCTTTTAAAATTCACGATCAGTAAAGAGCAACAAAAGAAATAAAAATAATTGTATGTAAGCAAAGTTGTTACAGAGAGGACCACTGAAATATTTTAGCCACGGGAACATTTGTTTCCAAATTATATATGTTCATGAACTTAAAGGGAAGCTTTTACTTAGCATTCAGGGTTTATTTGGATTTTATAAAATCCAAGGCAAAAAAAAAAAAAAATCTCTTTCATGACACTCAATGAAAACAATGCACGAATGACTTTAAATATTTATAGAAAGTTTAGTGGAGGAAGTGAGCTAAACCAAGGAAGGAGTTCCTCTGGAGACCTCAAAAGAATGTTTCAAAGCCATGCCAGTGTACCTCTACCCTGAGAAGAATAGGCAACTAACCATGTGCTTTTGTTTCCCCAGGGAGAAGTTGGCCGTGGCCCGGCTGCAGCGAGAAGTTGCCCAAAGAAGAAGTGAGGGGGCCATAGTAAGTGCTGGCTGGTCTTTCCTGATCCTGCACCTCCCTTCCAAAGATCTCTGGCTGGAAGGGCATTTTTGTCTCATTAAGGATATCTAAGGAAAATATTTGCTTGCAACAGACTTAATGATGTATTGGTAAATAATGTGTTTCTAATGCGGTTTGGACAGTTCTGCCATTTGCAGACAGGGAGAGAGGGAGGGAGAGGGGGAGGGAGGGGCGGTATTAATTGAGAAAAAGAAATAACTATCTGGGCTTTGAAGAGGATGTTCAAACATTCAGATGGTTGTATAGCTTTATTTCCTGAAGACCCCGGCTTCCAGCTGTGAGCACAGTGTCAGTAAATGAGCAATTATAGGTTTTCAGCTAAGAACAGTTCAACATAGCTCAAGCCTGTCGGTTCTTTGAACTTAGAAACAAACAACCTAAAGGAACACAGAGATTTTTACTAATGTAATTGTCTTCTGCCCTTTTCTTTCTCTGCACTCTTGCAGTGTATTTCTCCCTGTCCTTCCCAGTGTGTGCCATTCAGAAAACTGATGTTTCCTTGTGTTTTGAATTGTACTAAAAATCAATATGGTTGTTTTGGTCCATAGCAACTTCATTTTATAGACTCTCTTTGCGGAAGTATCTGCCCGCGTGCCTCTCTAACATCAGAGATGACTGCCTGGGGTCCCAGGGTGCATACATGTGTGGATTAACTGCTGCTCCTTCCTCTGAGCAAAAAATAGAACACTAGATTTTTTTCTCACTTAAGACAAAACAATGACACAAATGCAATTTTTCAGCACAAGAATTATCTTTTTTTAAAAAAGAGAAGTGACACGTTTTTAGACCCTTCAGGCTGCTTCTGTTTGATTTCATGAGAGTTAATTGACAATCCATACCCCGAAAAGAATAAGAAATCAGTAAAAATATGCTGGCCTCGCACTTCTCTCAGGGAAGGTAAAGGTCTGGAGCAAGAGACCAAATGTTTAGTGGGTTCTGGAATGGTGCAGTGGCCTTTGAGCATGCTAAAATACTTAGGTGATCACATCGTTTGCAATTCTGGTGATTTCAATGCAAAGAGAATCTTAAATGTTCAAACAATAGGAAACAACTGCTCACAAGCATCTTTGAGCAGTGAAATGGAAATAGGCTGGAGAAAATGAATGTTTAGTCAAATAGTGAACTAAAAATGCCCAATCTGGACTTTGACAGTGTTGGGGTATGTGTACGGGCTAGGCCATTCTGCGATGTTTTAGTGTTTTGTTTCGGGCCAGCTCCTGTTGTACACGTTGTCAGCTATGTCCTAAATGAATGAGAAGAAGTGACAACTTTTCTAGGTCTCAATTTTTTTATATATATATATTTTTTAGGTCTCAATTTTTTCATCTTCAAAATGAGAAGTTTGGAATTTTATGATGACCTTAACTTCGTGGATCATGCCACTGAACATTTGTTATGTAAAGTTTTTATGATGGGGAGCTTTCCCTAGTAATAGCTAAATGCTATTTAAGCTCATAAGCACAGGCCTCTAGAATGTCTCTTTCTGACGCCAATGAATGGATCTCAGCTGATAATCTAAGGCATATAACTCACTAGTCTTCAACAAGATAAAAACCCCTTTCCAAAACATTGTAGAATAATTGTTCAGTGTCGAAAATACCCAGAAAACACAAGGACACAAAAAGGTTACTCTCCTTGCTCAAAAAACAATTTGGCAAATGTTTCTGGTATGTTATTATTCTTATTTTAATTATGGTAATGAAAAATCACACTTACGTGTTGATTGATTTAACAAGTATTTATTGAGCACCCACTCTGTGCCTGGCACTGTCCTAGGCCCCGGGGAAACATCAGTGGAAAAAAAAAAAAAACAGGCTTACATTCTTGTGGTTGTGAAGACAGACACTGAATGTATTTAGTGTGTTAGACGGTGAACAAGATCGGGGTAGGAGAGATTGGGAGTTCTAGGGCATCACTATTTTAAGTAGAGTTTCATAGAAGTAAATCACTGAAAAGTTAGTATTTGAGCAAAACTTGAAGGAGGCAAAAGAGTGAACCCTGGTGATATCTGGGGGAGGATCATTCTAGGCTGGGAGACCAGCAGGTACAAAGGCCTGGGGTGCCTGAGGAAAAGCCTGGAGACAGGCTGGCTGGCGGGTAGTCGGTGGGGAGAGGGTCAATAGTAGAAGATAAAATCAGTGAAATGACGGGAGACAGAGGAGTAAGCCAAGGATCTCTGGCTCATGCTGTGAGTGATAGGAGCCATTGAAAGGCTTTGTGTAAGGCAGTGACATGATGTGATTTACTATTATTCATGAAACTGTTTACTCCCATTCCATAATTTATCACATCTCAATTCCTTAGAGACACCACAAGCCCTAATTTTCATTAATCCCCTTTATTTTGTTTCTTGTCCCTCTTTCTCAATGTTTTTCTCCTCTTTCCTTACCTCTGAGTTTTCTACTTAATTACATGCTTTAGCTTTTCTGCTCCTAGGATTCATTTATTTCTGAAGTCCTGATTCTTTCAGTATCTGACAGCCCCCAAAGTCAGGCAGTTCTCTTCATCCTCTAAATTTGATTCTTGTGTTACAAGCACAGAACTTTTGTCATGTCTGTAGCAGAAGAGAAAGGCAGTTCATCACAACCACATCACATTATTTAAAGACTACTATTTACAGGATTCTTTATTTTTATCCACATAAAAGGAAAAATGGTATGGCAAGTTAAGTAAGTATTGTGAAAAAAAAATTTAATTGAGGCAGGTATTGATTTTTAAAATCATCAATGAACGTTTTATAATCAAAGTCTTAAATGTAAAATGCGAATTTTAAAAATTTGACTTCATGCGATAAATCTCCTTACTTACAAGTTTTAAGATAGTATTCAAGGCTCCATTTTTGAGAGGTTTATTTTCTTTTTTTAATACACTTTTTATTTTGGAATAATCATAGCCTTAAAGGAGGTTTCACATCTGCATCCTCCTGATCCAGTTTTCTGATGTTAGTGTCTTTCGTAACTGTGGCATGATTCTCACAAGTAAGAGATTACCACTGGCATGTTGCTATTAATCATACTTCAGAGTTTATTAGAATTTCACCAGTTTTCCCAATAATTTCCATTTTCTGATCAACGATTCAATCCAGAGTACCACATTTCATGTAGAGAGATTGCTTTTTAATGGTTAGTTGATACAAATGTGGGGATAAAAAGACCTTGAGCTTGGGAGTGAGGCAGGTCTGTATTCAAAATCCACCTCTGCCAGTAGTTAGCTATGTGGGCATGGGCACATTACTAGTTTTTATCAATTCTGTCCATTCTTTTGCTCTGTTGACCTAAATATTTATTTGGGGAAGCTTTCTTTCAGCCATTAGGTATTTCGTATTTGTTTCCTTTGCTCTTGACTCTTTCATGAAATAACTCACTATTGTTTTTACACTTACTTTTCATTATTTTTCACAAACAGCTGTACGATCATGTTTCTCTTCATTCTGGGAGATTCTGTTACCACTTATACTGCCTAGCACTGGTTTGGTTTACATATAAAATCTATTCTGTCCTTAAGACTTTAATGTCATCTTAAATTTGGCTGTATGTAAAAAGGCCCATTCTACCCCAAGAATATAGATATTCATTATCATTATCTTTTAGAAAGTATATAGTTTTTTTTTTTTTTTCTTTCCTGTCAATCTTGGCATCATCTAGATGGGATTAAGTTAGTGTGAGGCAGGGATCAAAAGGAATGTTTTCCCAAAACCATTTATTAAACAGTCTAGACTTTACTGTCCCTCTTATTGTATTCCAAATACCCATATTAATCTACATGAGTTCCTGGACAGCTTATACTTTTCCATTAACCATTATTGATTCTTACATGATTCTAAATTGTTTTAATTACTAGAAATTGATAGTTTACTTAATATTTTGTAGATTATTTCTGATTATACTTTTTCCTCCAAACTTGCAAAGACAATTTTATTTATGAATAGCAATAAGAATTTATGAGTTAAAATACGTGTTTAGATTTTAAAAATAGTAAAGAGCACTTTTATATGCACTTACAACACAACAAAATATTGTAGTGAGACCATTTCAAAATGACATGAAAAACAGCTTAAGTATATTTGCTGTTTTCTTCAATTTATATTAAAGTTTTAGAAGAAAATCACTTCTGCCACTGTTTAACTTTGTTTTTTATCAAAGAGATATTAATGTCCACAGAACACTAATATTCTATCAAACATAATTTTTAAAATGCTTGAGCTAATTATGCAAAATCTTAGATACCCTATGGTTCCTTCTCATCTCATTGGGTAATTTCTACTTGGGAAAAAGAAAAATATTAATTCTTGATTGCTGATCTCAAGGCACTAAGGAGACAGAGGAAGCTCATTTGCCCTGTTGTAAGATACCCTTTTTTTCTGCACCTAGGTATTCAGATGTTGCCTGGATGTTACCGTACTGACCATTACCTAAATTCATAATCATAACCTCCCTTTTTTTTCTCACAATGAACTTCCAAGGAGTAATGGTCAAAGATTGGGATATTGACAGAATAGGAATTTGTAGAAAAAACAGAAGAGTTTGAGGAAATAGGGAGATCAGAATCCTTGGACTCTCTGTGACATCCTTGCTGGAGGACAAGGCAAACTTAGGGCAGCAGAAGCCCTCACTACATCTTGCTCATTCAGTGCCACAGTGTGAACAGCCAGCTACGGTGCCGACACTGGAGTTGGCTGGGTTGGCGATACAAACTTGGGGAAAAAAAACACGTATAGAGGGGCATCTGGGTGGCTCAGTCGTTAATCGTCTGCCTTCAGCTCAGGTCATGATCCCAGGGTCCTGGGATTGAGCCCCGCATCAGGCTCCCTGCTCAGCGGAAAGCCTGCTTCTCCCTCTCCCATTCCCCCTGCTTGTATTCCCTCTCTCGCTGTGTCTCTCTCTGTCAAATAAAAAAAAAAAATCTTAAAAAACAACAACAACACGTATAGAACCTTCACCTCTGTGGCGCAGTGTTCAATA